CCTTCTGTAAGATTTATTTATGAATCTGCAGCTTTTGTCTCACACATACATGCACACACATACACACCAAAAAAAAAAAAAAAAAAAAGAAGAGAGGAAAGATCATTCCTTTCTTTTGTGTGCATGGCTGTGGAAAGATGCGGTGCCCTCCCACATCCCAGATCTTTGAGCCAGGCACTCAAGAGCAGAGATGAATCAGTGTTTTCAGGTCCCCTCTCTGTCTGAAGGGACTTGAGGCATTAAACAGTATTTGGGGGACTACGTGAAACCCCTCAGCTTCCCATGCTCTAATGTGTTTCTTCAGAAAACAGCAGCTTCAGCAGTTGAAAGCCACAGTATGCAAACATGCAAATGTGAGAACAAGTCTCCAGCTCAGTGGTTGGTGTGCTGTCCCTGGAGTTGGGAGGTTCAGGCTTTGATCAGCTCTCCCATATGGACCCGTTCAATGGGATCTACTCTGCTGGAACATATGAACAGTTCTTGGGACTGCTCACATGCAGAAAACCCCGTGGAGTTTTCAGACAACTACAACATAGGCATTTCAGAGGAATCTTGCTCCAGAGCAATTTTAGCATGCCTTGTGGACTCAATTCCCATCTAGGATTCCTGGGTGTGCATCCCAGCCTCTCCTTGTTACAAAGCTGCAGGTGAGGAGGATCAGGCGCTGCCCTCCAAAAGCACATGACTCGAATTCAAACAGCAGTTAAAATACACCCGCAGGCAGCTTGAAATTCTGCCCTTCTGCACGGAAACCCAGATCCCGCCTGCTTTCCGATGCCTTCCACGGCTGCTCAGCAGATGACATAACCTTAGTCGTGACTTACTGACACAGGTATTCAACTAAATAACGCGTGAAACAATGGAAAGGAAACGCCAAGGGTTTGACCAGCTCAGTCTCTGGGTTCGCTTGCGGTTCTGGGCAGTTCCTGCCTGCGCTGCTGTTGAGCCTCTCAGATAAGGAGCTGTGCTCAGCTGGGGGAAGTCCCTCCAGTCCCGCGGCGGCGGCGGCGGCCGCTTCCAGCGGCGGATACCGGCCGGGGGTCTCGGCCCGCGGTCGGGGGACGGCCCTGCTGCAACGCTCCCCGCATTGCGCGGCGGTGCGGGAGAAGCAGGGGCGGCAGTCCCCGGAACCCCCCCGGCTCCCGCATTGCGCCCCTGCCCACCCTGCAGCCCCAGCCCAGGGCGGCTCCGGAGGGAGGGGCTCCCCAAATGTGGTTGCCCGCTGCTCTCGCATCCCCAGAGTGGGTTCTTTGGAAATGGGAGGTTTGGGAAGGGTGGGGAAGCCCCGTCCCTGGGACTCGGCAGGTGGCGACAGAGCACGGGCTTTGGGGGGTGCCCGGCGCGGGCGGGTGGGGGGGCGGCTCCCCGGGCCGCCCGGGGCAGGGGTGCAGAGGTTCCGCTAATGCCACCCGAGCGAACCTTCTTCCTGGAGGGCTTCCCGTGAGGATTAAATATTTATTTTTACAAGTACTCTTCCAGAGAGATATAATGGTATTTTAACTTTCAAATTTTTTTTGTTTATCTCGCACATATACGTTTCTAGATACAAACATAGGAATAATCAGAGCATATACAGAAGCCTAAAATCCAACAGGCAAGGCGCAAGCCGCGGGCGACGGAGAAGGAGGGCTGGAGGCCGCTCTGTCAGCATCCTGGGCCGGCTCGGAAGGGCAAACCTGGCTCCGCATTCCCCGCGGCTCGGCCGCCGAGCGCTGCCTGCGGTGACGGGAAGCCCCCAGTGAGGTGAAGAGGCTGCGTCGGGCTCGAGCACCGTTCGGGGCTCGGGAGAGGCGGCGGGGGGCTCGGGCTGCCAGCATCCCGGCGGGATACGTGGGATCGACCTGCCTGCAGCTCGTCGGGGAGCTGGACGGGGCAGGCATTTGGCCGAAAGGGCTGTCCGTCCTTTCCCGCGGGGCGCTGGCAGGCAGCGCCCGGCCCTTTCCGGGATGCTCCCGGTTCCGTGCCCTCGAGTAGGGACGGGGGAGCTGCAGAGCTCGGGCTTAGTCCTTCTATTTTCCCCTATAAAAAACTCGAATAATTTTTTTCCACCTCCTTTGTCGGCCTCGAGGAAGAAGAAGAAACGTCCTTCGAGACTCTATTAAAAAAAAAAAAAAAAAAAGCAGCATCGCTTCTGCCGCTCAGTTCATTCGCCTCCTTCTCGAGTCCCTCGGAAAGCAAGATTAAAGGGGAAAGTCGCAGCTGTATATTTATGCTTTCATTGCTAGAAGGGAATTGATTTCCTTGCTTTTATTTTTGTAGTTGCAATACACAAGGGCGGATTTGCGTCACCAAAGCAACTTGCTGGTCGAGATAAAGTTGCACAAATATTGAAAAGGGAAGTGCTCGCGCTCATTATGAAGTTTTTCTCCGGAAGAAATAAGGATTTCTGCTGTATCCTAAAATACTAAAGCCGCTTCTATTTTGGGACAAATCTCGCAGGCACATCCGCTCATTTAGTCCGAGTTGGAACCTCTCAAAAAACAGGAGATGACCTGGACTGCAGCGAGCCCCGGGTTTCCTGCAGCCTTCTCCCTCCTTGCGCGGAGAGGAGGGGCCGCTGCCTCCCCCGGCAGCGCGGCGCGCAGCCCTGCGCGTCCCCGGGCAGGCAGGGAGGAGGCCTTTGGGGAGAAAGGACACCCTTGTCCCCAGGAAGATGGAGAGACCGGGGGGTGAGGCAGGTGCTCCTGGTTTCGGCCGCGAAGGGTGCGCGGGTGCGCAGCGCAGCCGAGCCCCGGGAAAGCACCTGCCCCGCGGCCAGGACTCCCCGGTTCCCTCGCCCTCCTGAGGCGCAGCCCGGGGATGAAGGGCTTTGGTGCGAGGCGTTCAGCTTTTCCTTTTGTGTTATTTTAGTGCTCGCGGGATGACAGCGGGATCCCGGCCTCCGGCGGCACCGAGGCAGCGGAGCCGCGGCCGTGCCCGCAAACGGGCCCGTCCCCCTGGTGCTGCTCATCCCACGGGCCCTGCACGGCAGCGAGGCGATAGGAGTTTTGAAATCAGCTCCTAAAAGAAAAAACCACACACACACACACAAAAACCCAAACAAACAAACAAAAACAAACAAACAAAAAAACCAACAGCAACAACAAAGACACCGCGTTTGGTTTTTTGGGGTTTTTTTCTCCTTTGCATTGACTGCCTGGTGAACAGGCACGGGCTGGTCCAACGCTCCCGGGTAGCAGTGGTAATTGCAGCAATAATTTAACGAGACGGTCTGAGGCCGAGATGCAGCACTCAAGGCACACTTCGTTGCCTGTCCTTCGGGCGGGCTGGCGGAGTGGCTCTGCCCGGCGGTGGGAACATGGGTGGAACCGAAGTCGTTCGATTCGGATTGAGAGCTAGAGGATAGTGCTGGGGTCAGCTGCCGTGAGGGAGAATGGGGGAGAGATGCAAGGAAAAGGGGCTTTCCGATGTCGGGGCAGGAAAAGTTGAGACATAATCAACATTTTCTTTCGCCTCCTTCGGGTTTCGGACACATCTTGGCAAGACAGCCCATCTTCATTTTTCGGTTTTGTCTCGTTAACGAGAACCAAACCAAAGCAAAGAAGTGCCTGGCTTTTCCCGGGGAGCCAAACTCACCTTCATCCGTTATAGCACGCGGTTATGGCTAAGGAACACGTTCACTCTCGCTTGCAGGTGGTTTCAATATCCCCACAGAAGCTACATCCTCATACCTGGCGAAAGAAAAATAGTTCGCCTTTCTGGCGGTTCCCCCAAAACCGTCAGAATTTGGGAAACGCTTTGGAAAAAATAATATGATATTTCTGAAACAAAATCAAAGTAAACTTTCAATCGTCTGACCCGGCAGGCTGCTCAAAACGACAGCGACTGCTTTACTCATACGAAAACTAAAAATAAAGAAATAGTTGATTTTCAGAGTAAGGTCGGGACAAATGTGATGTTAGAGGGGAGGGAAAAAAATGCGCCAAAGATGCTTTCATAGATTTGTCCCTAAATCATTGCAGTGAATATAGCATGTGATTCTGGTGTACTGGAAAAAAAATGTGGATAGTTCTGTCGTCAAATGTCTGAGAAATTATTAAGTAATTTTAAGGTAAAATTGGTCTGCAAGCAGATGCAGTCACTGGGATGGAGAGCCTGACAAAAATCTATCCTAAAATTACACTGTCGTCAAAATAATACTAGGTAATTAATCGCTACTAATGCAGGATCCAAGGTGTCCTGGGCCCAGAATATCTGGGAGCTCTCATAAATACATATATTGCATGCATCAGCATGGACTCCTTCTCTTCCAGACTATCCCAGGCTCATTTATCCGGGAAGAAAACATATGTCCTTGAGAATTGTTTCCAAGAGAACAGACCTGCTTCCGATAGCCAAGAATTTCCCCGCGCGTTTCTTTCAAACGTTTGGAAATCGCGGTGGCAGCAAGCACGGCGATTTTGCGCTGTATTTTTTTGGGGGGAAGGGGAAAAGCGGTTTTTCAAAGTCGAGAGCGCAATTTAAGGGGGTATAGGCGTGTGTTAGGGTGTACTTTGTGGGGCAAACCGCTCCGAATCTCGTGTCCGGGGCCACGCAGCGGGCGCTGTGGGCGCGGTGGCCGAACCCAGCCCCGGCCCTGCGTGGGCGTGTCGGCGGGCGGTGCTGCCCGGCCCCGCGGATCGCGGATTGGGCGTGGGGAGGGAGCGAGGGCTGCTCGCTGCCAGAGAAAGTTTTGTGGAGGGGTGGATGTTTTTTTCTTCCCCCAGTGCGAGGAAAAGGGGTTTGGTTTGGGTTTGTTTTGTTTGCGCCGCTCTGCTCCTCGGCCGCTCGCTTTCTTCGTCTGGCTGTGGGTTCTGGGGACTTCTTTTTAATTTTCAGGGTTAATTTTTTCTTTTCGTCATTTTTTGGTGGTTGGCTCTCTCTCCTTGCCCCTCCGAGAAGTGCTCCACCAGCCGCCTCTCGCCCTGCCATCCCTCCCCATGCGCCCGGGGCCGCGGGCAGCTCCGCGGCGCGCACCCGGGAGCTGAGCTGCGGAGCGGCGCGTCCCCTCCTCGGGCAGGATGTACACGGCCGGGCTGGCTCCTTTCTACGCCTCCAACTTCAGCTTGTGGTCAGCGGCGTATTGCTCTGCATCGGGGCCGGCGGCCGGCGGCTGCTTCCCTCTGGACGCCGCGGCGGCGAAGAAGCCGTCCTTCTGCATCGCCGACATCCTCCACGCCGGCGGCGAGGCGGCGGCCGGAGCCGCCGACAGCCTGCCCGGAGGGCCCGGCACCGGTATGCCGGCCGCGCTGGGAGCCGTGCACCACGGTGGTCCCTTCCACGCCACGGCCTCGCCGCTCCGGCCCACGCCCGTCGTGGCCCCCGACGCCCCCGCCGCCGCATTCCCGCCGCGCCTCTCGCCGCTCTCCACCGCCTACCACTCCCACCACCACCGCCCCCCGCAGCACCGGTCCCCAGCGGCGGCGGCGGCGGCGGCGGCTGGAGGCGGAGGCGCCCCGGCCCCCGCCCGGCTGCCCGGCGGCCACACGCACGGCTCGGCGCCGGCGCCCGCCAGCAAGGATCTGAAATTCGGCATCGACCGCATTTTATCGGCGGAGTTTGACCCCAAAGTCAAGGAAGGCAACACGCTGAGAGGTAGAGAAATTGGTTTATCCGCTTTCCCTGCTAACGCTCTCGATGCTCTGTTACTTGTACTGTGATTAGCGACTACACCCGCGATTAGAAAACTTTTCGATCTAGGCGAGAAAAGAATTATTAAAAAAAAAAAAGTTATAGATCAAAGTTTCTAACAGCTCTCACTGAGCACACCCCCCCCCCCCCCCCCCCCGCCACCTCCGTTCCGGCCTCCGCACGGCAGAGCCGGGGCTCAGGGCTTACGCCCCGGGGAAAATAGCGATAGCGTGAAAGTAGCGAGCGGAGAGCTCCGCACTTCCCGGAACGGCCGGGGATTTCTGCCTCCTAGGACACAGCCCGTGTGATTGTTTCTCCTCAATCCATCTCTCCTCGCGGCCTGTAAACATCCTGACCAAGGGAGTAAATATGTCGGAGGATGTCTCGCTGCCGGGGCAGGGTCTCCTCTCCCGAGGAGAGCCCCTGGGGGCGGGAGATGGCTGCTTGGTGGCCCCCCGAGCCCCTCCGACCGGGCACCCGCTCCGAATCATTCCGGGTTGTCGGCCTCGACCGCGGTATAACAGAGCTCTCCTTGTTCCTGTGCTCGCAGATCTGACCTCCTTATTAACTACGAGCCGCCAAACTGGGGTTCATCTCCCCAACTTGCAGCCTTCCGCCGGCCAGTTCTTCGCGTCTCTAGACCCTATTAACGAGGCCTCTGCTATCCTGGGTCCCTTAAACACAAACCCAAGGAGCTCAGTGCAGCACCAGTTTCAAGACACTTTTCCAGGTACATCTCGTCCTCCTCGACCCTCCCGTGGCACAGGGCCCTCCGTCCTGGAGTAGCCCCCTTCCTTCCGGAGGGACTCACCAGGCAATTTTGCAAGGCCGGGTGTGTGTAGCGAGGTCCAGATTTTGGGCGAAGGCCGGGCTGCGTGGGGGGGAGGAAGAGCTGCCTTGGGCCTGATCTAGAGGACCGTCCCATCGAGTAAAGGAGTAATAACCTGGGCCGAGAGAGAAGAAGTGGGGAGGTGGGAGAGGAAGAAGTTCGAGTTCCATACAGCTCCGCCCGCGCTCGAGGCAGCACAAGCTGACAGGACACGTACCCGTCGGGCAGGCAGAGCCATGCTGGCCCGGGCCCTCCTGCACAGCGCACTCCAACTCTTATTTAGATCGAATTAAGGCTTCCTTTCAGGCTGCAATATTAATAACGCCGTCTCCCTCTCTCTTCCCCCCCTTTTCTCTTCCCCTCCCCAGGTCCGTACGCAGTTCTAACCAAGGACACGCTGCCCCAGACGTACAAGAGGAAACGTTCCTGGTCCAGGGCTGTTTTTTCCAACCTGCAGAGGAAAGGTTTAGAAAAACGGTTCGAAATCCAGAAGTATGTCACCAAACCGGACAGGAAGCAACTGGCGGCGATGCTGGGGCTGACAGATGCTCAAGTAAGAATGGCTTCGTTTTTATTTCAAACCTTACTTCCAGTTTAGATGAATACCAGAGGGCAGTGAAGTTTCATAGTGATTTCTCTTCCTTTATCATGAGTGGGGAGCCTGTCTGAGGAGCTGCACCTTGCCCCGAGCATCTCTTGCGCCCAGGTTCCGTGGCGTACCGCGACTCGGCGCGGAATTTTTGCCTTTCCTTTGGCCACCGAGGAGCAGGCTGGGCGGAGAGATGAGCAGGGCCAGGGCAAGTTATCAGTGTGCGCTTTACTGGAGTGCTGTAGGAGGCAGTTTAGGGCAAAGGAAGTAGAAGCGAAAACACTATTCTTAATATCCTTTTTTTTTTTGTTATAGTTTTTTTTTGTTCTAAATCTTTCCTTGCGTTGTGAAATCCTTCGTTCTGAGGAAGTGAAAACACTTCTTCAAACGGAAGCATTAAACGCCACTCTGTAATGATTCCACTATTGAGGCCCGCAGCGCACAGAATTGTATAACGCTGTGGTTTCTTGAGCAAGATTTGGTTTCCTGGAAGAAGAAGTAGAAGGAGAGAGGAAAAAAACTCCATCCAAACAAACAAACACGGGGAGGGGTGTGTGCGGTATTTAAATACACTAACTAGAAGGAGGAAAAAACCAAAAAAAGCCCTTTAGTCGCGTAAGGATGTGGGCAGCGGGAGGGGAGGACGGCGCCTCCTCATCTCCCCGCGTTGCCGGTCCCGGTGGAAGGGGTCGGGGCCGGGCGCTGCGCGGGGCGCGGTGCGGGGCGCGGTGGGGCCGGGCCGCCCGTCTAAGGGCGGCGCGGCCGCAGGTGAAGGTGTGGTTCCAGAACCGGCGGATGAAGTGGCGGCACTCCAAGGAAGCGCAGGCCCAGAAGGACAAGGAGCCGCCGCCGGAACCGGAGCCGGCGGCCCAGCGAGCCGGCGCACCGCCCGCCGCCCCGGGGGAGCCCGAGCGCAGCCCCAGCCGCTCCGACGGCGACAGCGACAGCAGCGACGCTGAGTCCCTCGACATGGCCCCCAGCGACACGGAACGGACTGAGGGCGCCGAGCGGAGCCTGCCCGCCGCCGGGCTGGGCAAGTCCTCCGGCAGCACCGGCCTGCCTTCCCCGCCGCCCGCCGCCGCCAGCCCCGAGCCGCGGAGCGGTCTATAGTGGGGGGCGGCCCGGGACCTGTGCGCTAATTTATGTCCCTTCCCCCGCCCTGGGAGCGCGGCAAGGCCGGCCCAGCACCGGCCCCGGCCCCGGCCCTGGCCTCGGCTCTGGCCCCAGCCCGCTCCCGCCTGTGGCCAGCGCCCGGCCCGGCCCGGCCCGGGGCGAGGGGTCGAGGTTGCAGGCGGAGCGGGAGCCCCAGCCCCGGGGCGGCAGAGCATAAGGCGGCCGCCCTTCCCTCAGAGCTACCCGCAGGAGATCGGGGGATTTTCCCTTTTCTTCCCCTTTTAAAAAAAATTTAATTCTCCGTTTCCCGCCTCTCGTTCTCTCCAAGGAAAATCCGAGCGAGGGACTGCGAGAACGCTCTCAGAAATACCCACCTTTCCCCCCCCCACCCCCCAACCAATTTACAATGTGAAGTATTTTGCCAACGTCCTCATTGGTTGCAACTTGTTGCTTCGAATAATCCGGCCAAGAAATACTGCACTGACAAAATATATAAATATATATATATATATATAACTCCTGTAAATAAAATGTTTGCTATGGTTTGTAGCCACGTCAGTCTTTTCACCAGGGGCGAGGGCTGGCGTGACTGCCCCAGCTTCCTTCACCCCGCTCGAAGGCAGCAGCTGCCTCTCCTCGCCTCGGAGCCTCCCCAGGCAGCCTTTTCTTTTTTTTTTTTTTTTTTTTTCCTTTTTTTTTCTTATGAAAGCAGTGACAAGGACTGGATTTGATGACGCAAAGTTGTGCCCCCGGTGAGAAAGTCACCAGCGCCATTCGTAGCCCCGCATGTGCCTGTGCCGTGTGAGGTGGCTTTTGGTTACGGATGCCAGGCAGGGCTGGGCTGCCCGACCCACCGCGACTCCCGGGCGCCGCTGTCGGGGCAGTTTTAGGGAGCAGGAGGGACACGACGTGTGTGATTTGTTTCGCTTCGCTTCGCTTTGCCGCTCTTTACTGTCGCTCCGCTTCGCCGCGCGCTTCTCCGCAAGCCCCCGTGACGTCACAGCGCCGCTGTGCGACTCCGGGGGCGCGATGTGACGTCATAGAGGCACTGTGCGCGGCGAAGAGGCGGGCGGTGGCATGGGGGCAGGGTGAGCACCGGGCTGGGGCGGACACACGGCGGATTCTCCCGCTGCGCCGGTGGGTGCCGCTGGGCCTGGGAGCCTCCCGGTGCGTGCGGCCTGGCGGCTCCGCCGGGACTCCCCCGGGGTCCAGGCCGGGATCCGACGGCTTCGCTCGGGTTCAGAGTTAGCTTCGCCCTCGGAAAGATATAAAGCGCCGCGTTACTCCGTGTTCCGTTCCTCCCGGGCCACGAGGGAGGACGGGGCCTGCTTCTGAGGTATTCTGCTTCCCCCTCCTCACCTGCCAAGCAGCACGGATTAGGGCGATAGCCGCGGCGGTGAGCAGCTCCCGTGCTTCCCTCTGGGAAGAGAGTTTTTTGCTTCGGCACAGAAATCCGCGAGGGCAGGGAAGCTGCTCACGGAGGCAGGGGAAGGGCAGAAGAGGCCGAGCCGCCCTCCCTCTTCCCCACAAGCTCGGCCGATGGGCGCTGAACCTGGGACATCGTTAGAAAGAGGAGACAGAGGAATAAAGTGAAAGATCGGGAAAATGCCGGTGTCGTCCAGTGATGTGGAGGCGGGTGCACGTCTGGCCTTTGCCCGCTGCTTCTCAGAAGGTCCTTCGGGGCCGGGGGAGTTTTCCGGGAAGGACGCTCTCCTCGGGGACCACCCTTGTTAGCGAGAGCAAAGCCCCGAGGAAAGGGAAACACCCATAGAATTCCCTCACCAGAAGCCCTGGGGAGAAGAAGCTGGGGCATACAGCAGGCCAAGAGAAATCTTGCGGGACGAAGAAGGGACAGGCGAATTGGTAAAAACGTGTAACCGAGAGGGCAGAGGCTCCGTCAGAGCCATCACAGGCAGGGTGATCTCCAAGGGGGGCGCTCACAAAGTTCTGATGCATTCCTGGATGCCCGCGGCACTCGCACGAGGTAGTGCTCCCCGGGCGCCGTCCCTGAACGACCCGTCCTGGGACAGAGAAGTGGGACGGGGGAAGAAATTAACTGGAAGGGCTTTGTAATTTAATGTTCTGCCTTTAAAACCTTGCCAGGGAGGAATCGTGGGGGTGTCACGGCTAATCGGGGCACGGTGTGGGCCCTGCAGTTCGCTTTCAGCCCCACTCCCATCAGCGCAGGATTTGCCATGATGTTGGAACTCCCCTAAATGCAAGGGAAGCCGCGGGACAGATGCCCAGCGAAACACGACTGTTTCTCCTCTGATAAACCACCGTGGTGCGGCTCACGGAACCGCAGGAATTTGTTTGCCTCTTTAGTTTGCTTCCTGAAGACTAGCCCGTGCAGGGGAGAGGGTTTTGGAGTGGCTCTTGTCAGATGAGAAAGGAAAAGCGCGTCGGGAAAGAGTTTCTCTTCCCTTGGGTTAAAGGAATCTGTGCCTCCTCCAACTCAGGGCTGGCTGCGCGGGTCTAGGCTCTCTCCACCTCGGCCTCCCCCAAATAACGGGAGCAACGCCCGCCTGGACTTGGAGTCGGGGAGAGAGCGAGGCAATGCCTTTATGGCATAATTTTAAGATAACACAGAAAAGAAAAAAAAAAAAAGAAAAAAAAAAGAGGGGGGGGAAACAATGCTGTTGGGACTCAAGCTTTGGGTAAAGACATTCAGGTCGGAATGGAAGGGATGGGATAAAAATCCTTCGTCCTGCGCCCACTTTTTGTGCTCCGTGCACCTCGGGTGCTGTTCGGGTCAAGGGGCCAAGTGGTGGAACGGGCGGGTGGGTTTCTTCCTCTCCCCCGGCTAAAGGAAAAATTAATTACATCTCTCCAGTTTGCCCCTGCTGTGCTCGTGCAGGTACAGCAAAGCCACGAAAACGAGTTTAGGAAAAGATGAGCCCATGGAGGGATTTGTGCCCGTCTCTTCAGGGAAGGAAGTTTTCTCCGTCCCGCGAGGCTGCAGTTACTGCTCTATTTCTGCAGGAAAAAATAGGGACAATGTCGTGACCGCAGGCAGCTCCAACGCCGTTGGCTGGCGAAGGCGACATGTCCGTAGTGCAACGCAACACCCGCGCTCCCAGAACAGATCAAAGAAAGCTTGGAGGAGCCTCTATTTTGTTTGCTTGCTATGGCCGGGTAACACGAAAGGCTTTTGATGCTGGTTGTCTCTGAACTAGAGACGCCCGAGCACACTGTTTTACTGTAGACACGAAAATCCCTGACGGTGTTTCAATAGGAGCAGCAGCTTTCGTGGCGGTCTCTTCACCTCCCCTAAATCCGCTGTGACTCTTTCCATGTCTGTGCCGGGCACCGCAACCCCCTCGGGCTCTCCCCGCCCGCCACAGCGCGGCCGGGTGACAGCGAGGTGTCGCGGAGGGGCCGGGGTCCCCACGCGGAGGCCGCAGGAGCTTCCCCGGCGCTGCCCTGGTCCCCGCGGTCCCGGCCAGGGCAGACTCACCGCACAAACTCTCTTCGTCTCCTCACTTCCCCACCCGGACGCCCCGCAGAAATTTTTCGCGCTGATTTATAATGAAAAGTCGTACCAGAGACCAAGAAGCGGGAGCGGTACACGCTACCGCACGGAGGTTTTCCTGCCTCCTCCTGCCTGGCATGTATGGGAAATCGGATTAATACAGAAGCGGGAGGCCTCGCCGTGCCGCTCCGATATCCCAGCCCTGTCTGGGGGCATCCATACTCGCAGAGATGCGCAGCCGGAGTGATCAGAGCCAGGTCCGGCCAGCCTTCTTCCCGGGAAGCAGTTTACCGATAACCCCACCTTTCCCCGGCGCTGTGTTAGGAAACCCAACGAGATACTTTTCTTTTCGCCCGATTTCTTACCAGAGACCTCCCATCTCCAGAGACCTGAGTCAACCTCACAAATAACAGCCACATTAGAAGAAAAACACCCAAAACAATAATACAACAAAACAGAAGCAATATTTTAATTAAGAGACGCATGGTGCAAAAGGGCTGGATGAGGAACTGGCCTCAGGGTCCGCCGCTGTCCTGCCCGGCGAGGACGGGGTGTCCGCCGCGGTTCCCCCGCCTCGGTGCTGCTCCTCCCAGAGCCCCGTGGGCGCGGAGCCGGCGGCAGCGAAACCTGAGTTCGCCTCCCTCGTTAGCAGAGCGAGACCGGCCCCGCTCCTTAGGAAAATATTTTTATTTTATTTTAATGTCGGGCTTAAGCTGATGTCTTAAAAAATAATTGTTTTCAGACCCCAGTGCGCTCGGCATTGCCGTTTCACACTCGCAGGCACACACAGCTTTCCCTGCAGTTCATGCCTCGGGACTGCCTGGCGTCGGCAAGACAAACTGCAATCTCCAAAATGTCAACTTTTGCCACAATCTCGACTAAAAAAACCACCCCCTTCTTATTGCTGTTGAGCGCTCATCAGAAATAATGGCTGTTTACACAAAACCTTTATTCACTTTCTTAAATAAACACCAGTGAATTCAAATAAAGCAAAGCCTCAGCTATAATTCAAGCACAACGTTTTCTGTGTGTATTCTCGGCTGCGGACCTGGAGAGACTCCTCGGAGAGAAATATGAGGTCTCTTTTCAGAGTCCACGTCCATTAGCTAAATATGCTAGCTCACCTCAGCCAGGTTTATACTACTTCGGATTTCATTTCCCCCCGCCCCCCCCCCCCCCCCCCCCGACCCCTTTTTATGTTTTTCCCCAGCTGAAGCGGAAATATTTAGTCCCTTTCCCCCGGTCCCTTTTTACAGAGGTGTGGTCCGGGAGCTTTTCTTTTTAAATCCATTTGCAGAAGCCCCTTCCTCTTCCCTTGCACAGCCCCGGCTCGGGGGCGCGCTGCGGGAGCACCGCCGCCCTCCGCAGCCCGCCCGGCCGCGGCGGATGCTCGTGGCTCGGCGGGCAGAGGTAGCTTTGATTATAAGGGAAGGTGTGTGGCTTGTGGGTTGGTGAGCCCGGTGAGGCGATACCAAGGTCCCGCTTATCTCGGAAAGAACCGCCTATAAACGCAGTTCGTACAGACCCACGAGCTCAGGACCCGCGCAAGGAGCGGCGGCCCCGCCGTCCATCGCCCCTGGAGGGAGCCGGGTCCGTCCC